ATAATTTTATAAACCTCTACCATGTCTCCATGACTTTCACGGGCACCTTTTTTGCCGTCTTCAGACATGGGAATTTAACTTTAACTCTCTTTTAAAATGAGCAGCCTGTAGTGATCCATTGGTCCGGAGTAGTTAGTTTGTACGTTTTTTATTGAATCATCTTATCATTCTAAACGTTTTAATTGCTCAAGTGTTTTAATCTTTTTTTGAAATGTGCACTGCCTCGGGGGTCCCTGATCTGGTGGAAAGGTGTCATAAAATACTTTAAATAGTAGGTAAAGGTTCCCTTGCTCGAAAGCCAGTCGAATCCGACTCTAGGGTTGTGGTGCTCATCTCCGTTTCAAAGCCGAAGAGCCAGCGCTGTCCGAAGACGTTTCCGTGGTCATGTGTCCGGCATGACTAACCACCAAGGCGCACGGAACGCTGTTACCTTCCCACTGAAGTGGTACCTATTTATCTACTTGCAATTTCTTGCTTTCGATCTGCTAGGTTGGCAGGAGCTGGAACCAGAGACGGGAGCTCACTCCATCATGCGGCAACTCGGGTCTCAAACTGCTGAACTACCGACCTTCCACAGCCTGCAGTTCAGCATCTTAACCACTTGAACCACCGCAGCTCCACTTTAAATAGTAAATCAAAATAATTTTTTTGTACTTGTGGGTACATGGCTTGTTCTCAAAAGCCCCTACTAAGCCTCCGCCGAACTGTCTGCCCACCCAAGTCCCAGCTTTTGCACGAATCAGACCATCTCGTCCTTCCCGGACGCTTCCCTCCACCCCCTCCCAGAGAACCGGAGGGCTCACCGTCCCGGGACATTCCCAGGCTGAGGCATTTCTGCAGGCGGCAGTGTTGGCACCGGTTGCGGCTGGTGCGGTCGATCTGGCAGTTCTGCTGGCGGGTGCAGGAGTAGGTCACATTTCCTTGTTGGCTGCGCCGGAAGAAACCCTGGAGTGGAAAGACAGGGGTGGGGAACAGGGGGGATGTGAAAGAGAGCTCTGGGGTATGGTCCATTCTGCATCTGGCACCTGCTCTGCATTTCCTCAGCGCTCGACCTGGTTCCCCCCCCTTGCCTCAGAACATCTGTCTTCATTCAGTCTGGTATGCAGATTCCCCTGTGTCAGTACTTGCCTCGGTGGTCATGAGCCGCAAGAGCCAAGCAATTCATGGCAAGGTGATAAATACAAAGGGGAAAACAGGGGCGGGGGAACTGACGGAGATCAATGAAGCCATGTCAAGTCGTCTGCTGATTGCTTCCTTCGAATCAGAAACGGAAGAAGGAAAAGGTGCCACTCCGAACCACATTCAGATACTCTGGGGGCAATGCCGTACTTGACGGTGAAATCACCCCTGGAACGGCCATAAATCTATGCAGGTAAAGGAAAAGGTTTCCTTGTTTGAAAGCCAGTCGAGTCCGACTCTAGGGTTCTGGTGCTCATCTCCGTTTCAAAGCCGAAGAGCCAGCGCTGTCCGAAGACGTTTCCGTGGTCATGTGGCCGGCATGACTAAACACCAAGGCGCACGGAACGCTGTTCCCTTCCCACCGAAGTGGTACCTAGTTATCTACTTGCAATTTCTTGCTTTCGAACTGCTAGGTTGGCAGGAGCTGGAACTAGAGATGGGAGCTCACTCCATCATGCGGCACCCGGGTCTCGAACTGCTGAACGACTGACCTTCCACAGCCTGCAGTTCAGCGTCTTAACCACTTGAGCCACCACAGCTCCATAAATCTATGCAGAAGGTACCATAAAACCCGATGAACAAAGAAAGTGAAAGCGGCATGCAGTGTAGAGGGAGATTAACCTCCCGACGCGGCTGTGGAAAAAATGCGAGGAAACAGATGCGTGCAGAATCAGCCTACGATAGATCAAGGTGGGTCGCTCTGTCAGTCCGTCGGCAGCAGTACGAAAAAGCAGAAGTCGAGGAGCACCTTAAAGACTAAACAAATTTGTGGCAGGGGAGGAGCTTTTGTGAGTCACGGCTCACTTCTTCAGATTCAAGTCTCTTCAGATATTCAGGTATCTGAAGACGTGTGCAGCGTTACATGTTTTACAAGAACAGGACCAAATGATGTGCATGTAGCTTTAAATGATTGTGAGAACTCACTGGAGTTGTTTTCTTTCACCTAATTGTTCTATGTAGACACACACATGTTGTTTGTATATAGTTTCGTATTTGTTTAGTTCTATATGAACCGAAATTGAGCAAACTTCAGAGGACGGCGGAAGACCGGTAGGCCTAGCGGGAGCTGGTCCATGGGGTCGCGAAGAGTCGGACTCGACTGTGCGACTGAACAACAACATATGAACCGATTTAAATTGTATGCATACAGCTTTAAATTGTTGAAACAACGGGAAATGTTTAAAATCTTCATCGACGTCACCCACACTGCGTTTTAGATTAGAGATCTCTTTAAATTGTTAGAAAATTCTATGTAATTCTGTTAGAAAACGAATGTATATTTTGTATATTTTCCATTGAAAGGTCTCATCTGATGAAACTTTTACGTGAAACGATCCAATGAGTGCTGCACCGTCATAAGAGATATTTGAGACCATTTTGCTTCAAAGGAAACAACTTTAATGACTTCTTATACACTGGACACATTCAATATGTTTTCCTAACAAACCCAACTGGGGATTGGCAACCCTAGCCCTGCAGGAGCTCATTAGCATATCTCATTTGCATATGCCACACCCCCTGACATCACAGGAAGTGTGTCAGAAGGCAACACCCACCGCTCTGGCTCCACTGGACTCTTTTGGATTGCTTGCTATTGGGGGGGGGATGTGCAGATCTGTCCTCACAGAGGAGGGAGAGCTTGTACCTGAATAAAACTTGGTCTTAAAGGTGCCACTGGACTGTTTTGGATGGGGGGGCAGGGGGGAGTTCTACAGTTTACCTGGATGCGTCTTGCTCTGACTGAGGGCTGCTGGGAGCAGGGGGCGGGGCATGTTGCATGTGCCCGCCCCCTGGGCTCTTTACTGCCGGAGCTCTGCTCCTGTGCGCTCCTGCAGGAAATGACCCCCGCGTGTATCGAACCCAGGACCAAATGACTGGAGCCTCTCACCGTCCCAGTCTCACAAAGGAGAGTTTACTACCAGCTCGAGTCTAATAAGGGGGTGAGCCCTAATCCTGCAAAAAGAATCTTGGGAATTGTAATGAAAGAACAGGTTCCCGGGGGGGGGGGGGGGAGAAGACCCTTTTAAGCCTCGTAGAGTCTGTAGGCACAGAAAAGCCACAGGGTCACCTACCCGAAAAGGAGGGCGCCAACCCCAAAAGGGTCGAGGGCCCTTGGACTCACCTTACAGCCTTCACAGGTGATGACACCATAGTGGATCCCTGAGGATTTGTCACCGCAGATCTTGCAAGGGATCACCTCTATCTGGGCTGCGTGGGGGAGAAAAAGCAGGTCGAAGTCAGGTTGGGAACACCCGCATCTTCTGTCGTTCCTCTGCAGCGTTTTAAAATTAAATCTACCGGCCTGCTTGAAATTCGAACACAGGACCTACGCTTGTGGGAACGCTGCTTCTCCAGGCTTCTTTTTACCTTAAGACCCGGTGCTCCAAAACACCAAACTAGATGCCACAGGGTCCTCGTGGCCACCTGCCGCCATTTTAAAGTCATTTGCAATTGCCGTACGGCCCCAATCCTGATCGGGCCTGCGGTGTGGAGCTCTTGTTTCCCCCAGCGCACCTTCAGCTGCAGGTGGGGTGCGACCATTTTGGCACTTGATGCGGTGTGGGAAAACGTCAGCACACATTTTAAAATTTGGCCCTGAAGACACTGTCACGTCCAGCCTGGCCCTGAGTGATGGAGCAGAAACTTTTCTTCAGTTAATCGGCTAATGGGTTGGCAGCCTTTTGACTGATTCAGAGAGACGCCCAATTAATTAGGCAAAACATTACAAAATTATTTGTTTTTAATGAAGGTATTCAGGGCTTTTTTTGTAGAAAAAGCCAAGCAGGAACTCATTAGCATAATAGGCCACATCCAATGGCAGAAACTCATTCGCATATTAGGCCACACCCCCATGTTGCCACACCCACCTTTTGCATCTTATTCTGTTTACTTTGTTTGTTGTCAAAACCCTGGGCTCTTTTTGTACCAGGAACGCCTTTGCATGTTAGGCCACACACCCCTAATGTAGCCAATCCTAATGAGTTTCTGCTGTTGGGTGTGGCCTGTTATGCTAATGAGTTCCTGCTGGGTGTGGCCAACTCGGGAGCCAGCCGGAACTCTGTTCCTGTGCTTTCCTGCTCAAAAATAGCCCTGAAGGTATTTACCCAGAGCTCTTCTGCGTTCTCAGTTTCCTCGCTCGTGTGTTCCTACGGCTTCTGCTTTTTCCCTTTTCTGGATGTGTTGTGCTCCCTCTAGTGGCCGATTCGCTATTACACTGCCGTACGTCCGACGTACTTGGATGTAACAATGAATCGACCACTAGAGGGAGCACAACGTGTGGAAAAGATCCCCCCCCAAAATAGGGACACACAAATGAGGAAACAGAGAATGCAGAAGAGCCCCCAAACTATAGGTGGCCACTGCGATCTCATTCCCTTTGAGAAGTAGCATTCCCCTGCTTCAGTGTGGGAATATTGAGATGGTGCATGCAGCATGCCTGGATGTACATCGACTCTCAAAATTCAAAGCACAATACCCCCTGAACTCCATTTATTTGCATTTAATACATGCAGACAGAAATCAAGTTATACATTGTCTGATCCAAGGGTTCCCAACCTTTTTGAGCCTGTGGACACAGCTGGAGTGTAAACACAAGAAGAAGAAGAAGAAGAAGAAGAAGAAGAAGAAGAAGAAGAAGAAGAAGAAGAAGAAGAAGAAGAAGAAGAAGAAGAAGAAGAAGAAGAAGAAGAAGAAGTGGCGGCAGCAGCGGAGGAGGAGGAGGAGGAGGAGATTGGATTTATACCCCGCCCTTCACTATCCAAAGGAGTCTCAGAGCGGCTTCCAATCTCCCTTCCTCTCCCCACAACTGAGAGAGCTCTCTCGAGGACTGCCCTTGAGAGAACAGCTCTGAAAGAACTTGTGACTGACCCAAGGGCACACCAGCAGCGGCATGTGGAGGAGCAGGGAATCAAACCCGGCTCTCCCAGATTAGAGTCCGCGCCCCCAGATCAAGCGCTTTTAATCCCATTCATGGTTAGGGCTGCCAGTCTCCAAGCTGGAGGCTGGAGATCTCCTGGTATTAAAACTGGTCTTCAGGAAGATGAAGAAGATGATGACGAAGAAGAAGGCGACGATGAAGAAAATGAAGGAGGAGGAGGAGATTGGATTTATACCCCGCCCTTCACTACCCGAAGGAGACTCAGAGCATCTTACAACCTCGTTACCTTCCCCTCCCCAGAACAGACACCCTGTGAGCTCGGTGGGGCTGAGAGAGCTCTTTCGAGAACTGCCCTTGGGAGAACAGCTCTGAAAGAACTTGTGACTGACCCAAGGTCACACCAGCAGCGGCATGTGGAGGAGTGGGGAAATCAAACCCGGTTCTCCCAGGTTAGAGTCCACGCTCTTCACCACGACACCAAACTGGTGGTTTGATGGTGGGCGCCATCACAAAATGGCTTCCACGACAGAGAGAGCCACAAACAAAGGAAGCCAAAGTGTAGGGGACAAGGGGAATGAATTAAGGAAAAAAAACCCTCTGGGAAAGAGCGGTGAGGAAGAGAATAAAGCCAACACTAGTGAGGAGAGCACAAAAGTGGGCTTGAAGTTCAACATCAAAAAAAGCGAAGATCATGGCATCCGGCCCCATCACTCCTTGGCAAATAGAAGGGGAAGTCGTGGAAGTAGTGACAGACTTCACGTTCCTGGGATCCCAGATCACCGCAGACTGTGACAGCAGTCATGAAATTAAAAGACGCCTGCTCCTTGGGAGGAAAGCGATGGCGAACCTAAACAGCATGATCAAAAGTAGAGACATCACCCTGCCAACAAAGGTCCGCATGGTCAAAGCAATGGTATTCCCAGTAGTCATGTATGGCTGCGAGAGTTGGACTGTAAGGAAGGCCGAGCGCCGAAGAATAGATTCTTTTGAACTATGGTGCTGGAGAAGACTCTTGAGAGTCCCTTGGACTGCAAGAAGATCAAATCAGTCAATCCTAAAAGAAATCAACCCCGACTGTTCCCTGGAAGGCCAGACACTGAAACTGAAGCTCAAATACTTTGGCCACCCAATGAGAAGGGAGCCCTCACTGGAGAAGACCCTGATCCTGGGAAAGACTGAAGGTCAAGGAAGATGGGGACGGCAAAGGATGAGATTAGACAGTGTCATAGATAAATTGAGCCAACTTCAGAGGACGGCAGAAGACAGGAGGGCCTGACGGGATCTGGTCCATGGGGTCGCGAAGAGTCGGACTCGACTGTGCGACTGAACAACAACAACAACAAAAGTGGCAGCTGCCACCGAAACAAGGCTATTTCAATGTGCCCAGCCGTCAGGTCTCAGCAGCTGAGAAGAAACCCGGCTGGAGAAGAGCCTCACCTAACCTCAGCTACTTTCTAAAAAAATAACTTGGCGGGCACCAGAAAATGGCTCAGCGGGGACCGTGGCGCCCACGGGCACCAGGTTGGAGATCCCTGGTCTAATCAGTTAGACCTGATAGGATTAATAAACTAAGTTCTGTTTTGTCAGGCTTGAGTTGTCTCCCGGAACAACGGTAATCAGTCCTCTGTACAGTGGTGGGAGAGGCCCTATACTCTAGCCACGTGACATTCTGTCTGGGGGTTTGCTTGGAGACGGGACCAGGCTTTTTAAGCAAGGGTGTGTGTGCTACTAGGATGCCTTCACACCTCTCAATGGTAGCATGAGGGGCCGCCTCCTGAGTAGAGATGTAAAATTTCCAAAAATTTTGAAGCTCGGGGAAAAAAACCAGTTTCCCCCCGTTTCTTTCCGGGAAAAAACCAGAAATTTTTGGAAAAATTGCAAAAACCGCTACATTAGCACTTCTTTTTCTCTTTTCCAGATTGAAAGTCATCCTGTTACTTTAGGAACATAAAATATGACTATCGACATTTTTACTTGGCATGAAATTATCACCACTAGCCTATTAAAAAAATAGTGTATCCAAACAATTCTTACAAACAGAATACCCACCCACATGCAAAAACAAAACTGAAACCTTTTTCTTTTCCTGTGACAATTGCACCTCCTAAAGGAAGAAATGCATCTTGTTCTTGCATTGGAGAGTTCAGTTGGCAACCTAGGACTTGCTTGTCCTCAGTGCACAGAAATTAGATCAATCTGATACCATACGTATTTTTTAGAAATGATTTGGAAAATATTTGAACACCCTGTCTTAAAATATTTTATTCCTCATGTTAAAATAAAATGTTCCATAATCAATTTCTTTTCTGTTTTTCAATTTTTCGGAAAAAAAACAAAAAAGGCTTCCGGAAAAAAACGTGTTTTTTCCAAATTTTTCCGGGTTTTTTCCGGGCCTTCACATCTCTACTCTCGGAAGCTAAAAAGGGGTCAGCCCCAGTCAGTACTAATTTGGATCACAGACCACCAAGGAAGTCCAGGGTTGCTACGCAGAGGCAGGCAATGGCGAACCACCTCTGAACATCTCTTGCCTTAAAACCCTACGGGGTCACGGGGTCACTGTAAGCCGGCTCTGACTTGGCCGTGCTTTCCACCACCAAGAAAGAGGGCCACGACGCATCTGCACCTGGTGCACGCTCTCGGTCTTCTTTTGAGCAGAGGCTTTCTCTGGTGCGTTTCTGCAAGTTGGGCAACGCCCGAAGTGGCTCGTTTGCCAAGGGAAATGAGCGACACTGCATGTGAAACCACACACTCCGATGCATTTGGAGGAAACAACCCCTCATGCGACTCCTTGCAGGAAAATGATACAGCCTGCGAGACATGCCAAGGGAAGTCATACTTGCACAACGGGTAAAAAACAAAAAAACAAAAACAAAAAACAAAAAAGGCTTCAGGAAAAAAAACGGGAAAAAACCCTTTCCCCCCCGGATTTTTCCGGGTCCCCCCCCCCCCGGCCTTTACATCTCTACTGATAAAGGTGTCAAGTTTGCACACGGGTGGGAGGGAAGAGACCTAGCAAACACATGGAATTCACTGTCGCAGAAAGTGGTGGCAGCTACAAGCATAGACAGCCTCAAGAGGGGATTGGAGAAACATCTGGAGCAGAAATCCATCCGTGGCTCTGAGCCACAAGGTATAGATAGGAACACTCTGTCTGGGGTGGTGATGCTCTGTCTTCCTGGTGTTTGGGAGGGGGGCAAGAGTGGGAGGGCTTCTGGAGTCCTGGCCCCACTGGTGGACCTCCTGATGGCCCCTAGGTTTTGGCCACTGCGTGACCCAGAGTGTTGGACTGGATGGGCCATTGGCCTGATACAACATGACAAGTTTTGTTAGT